TGCGAGAAACTGCTGGAGTAAATGATGCCCTACTGAGCAGCTTGTCTATAAATTTGATAGTGGCAACACAGGAAGTAAAATAAACGAAAATTGGCATTTATAAGCACGATAAAAGTACATTTAGCAAAGCTCAGGGTTCCCCCCCCCCTTTCTTCCTTTCTTCCTGCCTTCACTATAATGCTGCTTGCCACTGTAGCTAAGGTTTTAAAAGTTATTACTGGCAAGGATTCCAAAACATCTATCATATCCAAAGGATACCGAGAACCCTTCTATCTCCACCTACAAAGCGTTCACTGGACAGTATTTATGAAGCCTGGCAGGTCACTGTCACTATTAGAGCCAAGTCACTCTTAAGTGCTTACTGTATGGCTGAGGGACAAGTATTAAGTGTGCGTCATACCAGGAGAGCCTCACAGTGACCTCTGAGAGAGTGACAATTATTTTTCCATTTTATGGGTCATGAGACTAAAGCTCAGACATTAACTCAGTTGGCACAGTAGAAATGGCACAGTGGAAAGTGGCAGAGACTGCATTAGAAAAAGCAAGCCTATGTAACTCACGGGGGATGGAGGTGAAGTGCAGGTGACTGTCCTTCAGTCTCTACCTGACCCAAGACAAGGAAAGGCAGTTATACTCTCTCCTGGCCTCCCACGCTGGCTACCTTAAACTGACAAGGAGCTCACGCCTCATTTCTCTTGCTCTTAAAAACAAAACAGGGCTGTGGGGATAGCTCAGTAAAATAAGCGATTGCCTGGCAAGAGCAGGGTCCTGAGTTCAATCCCCGGTCCCACCAAAAAAAAAAAAAAAAGTCTTAAAAACAAACAAAACAACACAACCCTTAGTCCATGTTTACCAATAAAAAGCTCTGTTGCTTTGGGGTTTTTTGGATGAAGAGGGAACAATTTACAGATTGTCAGCTTCCAAGCCTTTACATTTCACAGTCCTTTGGCTTTTAATTATCATGCTACATTTAGACTGAATGGATTTGGGCCTTTCCTTTCTGTTGCTAATACTGAGCTTCCAAATCTCCCAAGAGACTTTTCAGTTCTGGAACCTGGAAACTGTAGGTTGGAGGTTTCCTTACTGCATCTACTTTGGGGATCACTGCCTTCAAAAATCACTTAAGCATTTTAAAGCTGTAGTAGGTACTCAGTAAGAAGGAGTCTTTTCAGTAAACTGCTTATAATTTGTGCAATCTCCATTTTTTGTTAACTTTGTAGCCAGTAGCCCACCTTCTGTCAGATGAAACCTCACAGTAGCAAAATCTGAATGTGGTACATTTGCAAGGCATTTAATTATTATTTTTTATTAACAGTATAAGAAAATACAGGCAATAAATAAAACATAGTTTTTCAAAAAATATCTAGTGTTCTAAATGACTCTGATACTGTTGTATCAGCCCAGGAAATTTCACAGTATTCCATGCTTATGGTCCTTTGAGCTAGCAACAAGCAATCAGCATGGGACCCCCTGTTCTCTCACCTGCTGGTATAAACACTAAGCTGTGAGAAATGGAGGAGTCTCTCCATCCTAGCGCTGCCTCTGAGACAGCATGGTCTTATCACCATATTCCTCCCCTGCTCATTTTTCTGTGATTTGTCCTTACCTCATTCTGTGTGCTTATTCTGGATATTGCTATGGACATGGTAACATCTGGGGAAGCAACTAGTCCCTAAGCTATAGGAGTTAACATGCAAACTTCAAAGGCTCCTTGTGCTGAGGGCTTAGTCTCCAGGGCAGTCCCATTGGGAAGTGAAATCTTTCAGGAGGGGCCTAGTGGAAGTTAGGTCACTGGGGTGTACACTCAAAGGCAGTGGTGGGATACCAATCCATTTCCCCACTGCTCTCTGGTCAGGAGATGAGTATAGCTTCTGCTATGATGTGTTGTCCCCTCCTCCACAGAGACTTAAAACAATTGATTTGGCCAATCATGAACTAAAACCTCCAAAATGGAGCCAAATAACCCTTCTCTCTTTATAAGTTCATTAGCTCATACATTTGTCAGACTGACAGAAAGCTGCCTGACACAGGAGTTGAGGATGGAGTATTATCTCATATGTTCTTGAGAAGATGAAAGAGACAACGTGTGGAAATCTCACACGTGGTGCCTGAGACACAGTGGGCCAAGCACTCATGAGTTGCTTGCTGGGTTTCTTCCTTTTTTCTGTAAGCTTCTCAGAGACAGGATTTCCTGCTGTGTTTATCAAATACTTGAACAGCGAGTAGGTCTTCTTTAAATATCTGCTGAGTCAAATGCTTTTCTTTGCTATTATTTACTGAAGGGTTCGAAGTGCTTTGCATGTACTGACTTAATCTCATAATTCTGTATAGAAGGCTTTATTCTCTCCATTTTATAGGTGAGGAAACAAGTACAGGAAATTAAGACACTTTCTGGAGCTAAATTCCATTAAATGATAGAGTGAGGCAGTGGCACCAGGGTCTTCCACTTCTAATCATTCCAACTACTGATTCTTAATGGTAGAAAATATGTCTATTTTGAAACACACTGCTTTTCACTGTTTGAACTGGACTGATTTTCTTTTCTTCTAGCAATCAAGCAAGTAGTTGCTTTCACTTTTTCATTCCTTTAATTAAAAATTTCCAAAAGACTAATGGATTCCTATGGCCATAAACTATAAATAATAGTACTATAAATAGCTGTCCCTAAGCATGAAGAGCCTACTTTGTACAACGCTGCAAACTCCAGAGACCGCCCCCAACCAGGTTTCAATCGACTGGACAGTTTGTGTTTTGTCTGATGGAGCTTCAAGTTGGCTACCAGACTGCTAAACCCAAAGATTCATGATAACTGCCCAGCAGGAAACCACAGGAATTCAAGGAAAGCAAACATGAGTGTTCTACTAGGAAAAGGGTGAAAAATTCCAATCCCAGCTCATTGCTCATTCATTTTTAGACAATTTCCAGTTATACTTCTGTAAAGCCCCATAGTTTTTAGTAATATTTTTAATGTTAAAATTGTATCACATCAATCACCATCATTGATCAAGACCACCTATGCCAGGAATGACTCGGACAAATGGAAAACACAAACTGTAGGAGAAGGTTCAAGAAAATTGTGGCCTATACACCTGCATGGCAGTTATATTTCTAAAATACAGTATTTTTATACGAATGATCCTCATCTCAGTTTGTGATACGGACACAATTACATTATCTAAACAAATGAGAAAACAGAAGTTCAGCGATTCAGAAAAAAAAAAAAAAAAAAAAGGCATGAATTTGCGATAACCAAGTAGGTCTTCTGGCCCAGGGTTTCTTTACTTGTACCACATGTTTGGAGACAATAAGTTTAGAAGCAATTTTTGCATGGTCATAACTTGGAGAATAAATGTTGCATTTGTAGGGGAACCAGCAAGGTATTTTTTTAAAAACTGAATTTATAATGAAGTGAGAAGGAAAAGCATTCTTACACTTTAAGGCTGGTACACATTTCAGGAAAAGTACGTAACAATGCAAGGGAGAAGGGTGGCAGTATCTGGGCTATAACGTAATAAGCATCCTCAAAATCTGTCCCAGCTGGGCAGGCTCGCCTGGCCCCTGCCTGGGAGAGTGCTGGGTCCTCCGAGCTGTACCAAAGCTAGGAAAGCCATCGTTTCCTCCTTCTTAGTCACCTCTGCCTTCTCATACACAAAACAGGAACTCGTTGCTTTGGTTAACTAAGTGGTACCCATCAGTAGATGTTGCTGCTGCATTTCCTCATATTCAAAGGCTTACATATGTAGATTCTGCTTTGTTTAAATTAATTTTTCCAAGTCTTACATGTCTTTTCTCTTCTGGTTTAAAGTGATTCTGTTCTCTTCATGATTCACGCTCCCTATCTCTCTATTATAAACACTGTATCTTGTTTTATTTGGCAGAGCATATCTGACAAAAAAACTCAAACTGAGTAGCAAATTTTACTGATCCTTAACCTTAAATCTAATATACAAGAAGGAAAATGACAAATTTTTAATCAAAGTAAGCAATAATGACAGGTTTATTTAAAATTTCCAGTAGAGAAAACCCACTAGTTTTGGAATAAAAGTACTCATGTATGAGAGCATTAAGTGAATATAAAAGATTAACAAGAAAAAAAACCAAACATAGTACAAAAGAATTAAAAAAGTTTGAAATGGGTCTAAATCCTCATTTGACAGAGTTACTAGGTTTGGCAAACAATTCACCTGAAAATTAAAGCCTATTTCTGTAATGTAAACTCCATAAAAACTGCTTATTAAATTCAAGCACTCCATACAATTGATATTGAAATATATAGGCAGTCAATTTCAGAATGGCAGGAATTACTCATTTGCGGTCACCGCTGCATCAATTACCCAGCTGCGTAACTGCTTTTTGGAGAAGATGGAATAGAAGAATGCCACAAACAAAACCAAAAGGATAAAATCTCTAAAAAATTGTAACACAGCAAAATTCAGACATCAGTTTGTTTTTTCAAGGCAACAAACTTAATTTTTACAGCATATTCTACATCTGCAGTTGTTCTTTCCCTCTTCCCCCACCCTCCTGTTCCTAAATTCACTAGTCTAATCAATTCTTAACTTCCAAATATTCTGTACATACACATTTAGCAAAGAGCATATGCCTAGCATTATTCTGACAGCAGTATGGTCAGCATACAATTTTAGAAAGATTACTATGTATATCATAAAGATTAACCTTTACTTAAAAAAAAACCCATTACTAAACAGCTTTAAAATATTATGAAAACCCATGAAAAGTTTGAACATGGGCTCTAAACCTGATAAAAACACACTTCAGAAAGACTATTAATGCTAAACCGCCGAATGATGACCTTAAAGTGCCAAACACAAAAGCATCTCTTAGGACCATTTTTCTAATAATTCGTCCTTGGCTTGGCCACCTCTCCTTTAACTATACATAACATCCTGCTAAGAGTCTGGATTTTAGTTGATTTTACAATAGAATGTTACAATGTAAACTAAACAGGTTCTTGATATCAACGGTATGTTACCAAAGTTTTCAAATTTCTGAATCCAACAGTTGGTCACAGAGGTCAAGTATTATCAAGGCTCCTTTGTCAGCGCTCCATCGTGTCTGACTCACCCATCCTTCAAGTACATGCAAGGCTCAATAGTTTTTAAGAAGCAGAAGCCTAAGGCCATTTAAGACACCGACGAAATAGGATTGTGAGGTGAACCCATTTGGGTGAGAACTTTATCCAACCATTGGAGTGGGCCGTGCAGATGGATCTCAATCCAGCAGGGGGTGCTGGTAACATCCTGGCGGTGGTATTCTGCTCCCCAGCCCTAGAAGTAACGTAGCAGTGGTCACTAAACTCACTTAACTTGGTGTTCAACTTATTAAGTAAAAACCATCAACACAGTAAGAAACTGATTAAAGCTATGGACTTTTCCCACAAGAAATGTATACATGCACAAACATGCAATTTGTCAGTGATCTCAAGGATACCTCGGTGTTGGCCATCCAAAATTTAGCATCCAGATTATGAATTAGTCTTGGGAAATGAAAGTTTTAATATTTAAGATACATTATAAAATTATTATTATTTTTTTTGGGGGGGCAGAACCGGGGACTGAACTCAGGCCCTTGAGCTTGCCAGGCAAGTGTTTATTCTACTGAGCTCTCTCCCCAGTCCCTATAAAATTATTTTAATGAAGATTTTTTAATTTTCATATTTATTTCTCATTATACTATTCTATTACTAAATTCTCACTTTATTATCAGCAAAAGAAAGGAAAGCCTACAAATACATCTGTTTCTTCCCTATTCCAGCAGTCAATTTTAAAGCAAGAAAAAGGACCTCTTATCAACACAGCCCTTTGATCTTTTAATTTCTGGCAAAAACTGGTAGGCATAAATGCAGGTAAAAATCCACCATTAAAGAGAGAAAAGGGCACCAGGGAGACGGCTCAGTGGAATAAGCGCTTCCCTGGCAAGTGTAAGGGCCTGAGTTCAATCCCTGGTTCCGCAAAAAAAAAAAAAAAAAGAGAGAGAGAGAGAGAAAAGTTTGCTACTGCAAAGATATAAAGTTTCTAGGCATGAATGAACAAAAGAACATGAAGTTCTGATTAAGCTCTATTTCATGAAGAATATCAGAAAAGGCTGGGTTCTATTCATTTCTGCTACCTAACTAAAAGAAACATCTGAATATGAGAAATTTCTAGAAGTTGTGATGCTGAATTACATCTGCATGTATATATAACCATGTTGCTCATGCATCAATAAACTATTATGTTTATATGTAGGTCTGCCTCTAGAACTTAGCCAGCAAGTTCTTTGAATGGTGGTTATCTCTAACTTCCAATATTCAGTAGAGTCATGGTACAGAAAGGATGATCTACAAATACTTGTTTAATTGAACTGATCTGGATATTTTGGATATGGGAGGGCTTAAGGTAAAAATAATATTTATGAAATATATTTTCCATATTAATGATCAAAAATGATCATCTTAAAATCAGTGTAAGATTGGGTAGTAATGTTAGTAAAATGTTCTATGCATTTCTCCAAGATATTGAGAGGGGAAGGTTAAAGTACACAGAGGGTGAAGTATGATAACAAAGAACAATGCTGTAAAAAGTGTGTAGTTTCTTTTTTATTTTATTGCTAATACATATATAAATTCCTTACTAGGGTAGCAGGAGGTTTTTTTTTATGAGATTTATCTGCAGTTCCCTAAATTTAACTTCCCAGATATGTCTATTATATCTTGCATAAATCTCCATGCTGGTGCATTATAAATATTCTTTATTAGTGTTAAGGTTGCTTTTACTTGTGTGAAAGTAAATTATTCATATTGTACAAAAGTACAATTGTTAAAACTGACTGGGTAATCAATATGAAATGAATCTGAGGGGAAAGCTACGCTAAGCATTATAGCCATAAATCCTCCTAGAGTGGTTCTTCAATAAGCAGACTCACCACAGGCGCTCAGGAGCAATGGCCACAGTGCCGGCTCCACCAGCCCACATTTTACACATGAAAGCTCACGAGTAAAATGAGCAAAGATGCTCACAATGACAAAATGCTCAGTCAAAAATTAAACAGTGAATATTAAAAATGAGTAAGAAAGGTATTTCATAGACACGTGGCATATATAGGTCAACCTCTTCAAAGGGTTAAACAAAAAGCTCTAAGAACATTTCAGAGGTACCAGACTGAGCTGCAAAGAACTGTTGAATTACATTTTGAGAAAAGTGGTAAGAGAACATACTGAGAATTTGTAAGATGACTCAAAGATGTAGAAAAAAATTATATTCAGAGAAAGATACTTTTGATGTAGAGAATAATTAACAAAGGTTCTGAAATTATCTTCACTAATAAATACATTACCAAACAGGTTTAGCAACAAGTTAAGTGAGCTTCTGAAGACAGAACATAAAAGGCAATTGCTTCATCCAACTATATAATTAGTTACGCTTCTCCGTAACACAGGACAGTAATTTATCTTTGAGTATTCAGAGACAAGTTATTAGAAGTCACCACTTCATGAAATCCAATCAAGTACTTTAAAAATTTTAACTTTTCAATGGCATCTTGAAACCCTTCATATCTCAGAGACGAAGATGACGAAAAGATCCATTCCTATCAGTGATGTCTTCAACCTCCTCTACCCCGAAACCTTACAATTTATGCTTCGAGCACATAACGTCTAGATCTTTAAGCAACATCTGACTAATTTCTGAATTATATTAAAAACATGAGTTTACTAACCAAATAAAAATAAGTTTTAATGTTTGGAGCTTTCATTTTTATGAAGAGATCACTGCTTATTGCTGACATCAAAAGCAACAAATGTTACCATCACACAAGTACTACTACAAAGAATGAAAGGGAAGACATACTGGTATGACTATCTCCTAACATAATCATATACTGAAAGCACAGGTTAAGCACATACTATACTGTAAGAGCATCATTGTAGCTAACATAATGTTATTTGAATCAGGAAAAGGGTACTAAAAGCTACTGCTATGGACTCTACATAAGTACTTCTATGTTCCAATGATCTTCTCTTAGTAACTGACATCCCTGTTAAAATTTAAAGATCAATGGACCTAATACCAGTAGGATACAGAGTTATACATGTAAGAAAGCATAGCAAAATGTGTTCAGCTCACACAATAGAAATCTATGCTCACTCACCTTCACAAAGCTCATGCGTATGGTGCACATTTTTGTGAGCTCATAGACTGTTTCAAAACCATGGTTCACAGATTGTGCCAGTAACTGAGCAAATTCTTGATTGTTAAAAATTTTTAAACTACAGCCACTAGGGATTTTGCAAACAGTAGTGGGATGAAATCCATGATGGTAGTTGCAGTTCCGACTTTGCACAAAGATGCTGCTGTCACTGAGGCATTCGGCATACACCTCCCCTCCAACGTAGTAAAGATGAACTCCTGCAGAAAGACGAGGCAGGTTATTGTCTTATAGCTGAAAGGCATCTGTGCAGCTTCAACATATAAATATACATTTGTACAGATTCAAACTTTGGCTAGTTAGACTTTCTCTAAGTCCCATGAAACGGAGCTCACAAAGTAGGGAAATAATAGAGGAAATTTAATATAGAATAAGTCTCTTGAAAATAATGCTGGAGAGTAACAATTTCAGCTGGGTGTGGTAGTGCACACCTGTAATCCCAGTACTCTAGGAGGCTGAGGAAGGACCGCAAGGTTGAGCCCAGCCTGGACAACTTGACTTAATGAGATCCTGTCACAACATAAAAAAGATAAAATTAAAAATAAAAATTTTAAAAGGGTCATATTCAACGTAAAGGACCTGGGTTCAATTTCCAGTAAGAAAGAAAGAAAGAAAGAAAGAAAGAAAGAAAGAAAGAAAGAAAGAAAGAAAGCAAGCAAGCAAGCAAGCAAGCAAGCAAGCAAGATTACTAAGTACAACAATTTCATTTTGGTATTTAATGCCTATATGGTCACGGTTGAAAGTCTATTCTCCACCGGGTATGTAACTCAGCAGGACAGCACCTGCCTGACAAGTGTGAGATAGTGAGTTTGAATCCTGGTAATCCTTCCTGCCCCCCGAAAAAGTGCAGCATCACTCTAAAAATACCTGGGGATCCTACACATAGTCATCATGTAAGTCTCTTGCACTTACTGTGGAGCTAAATTGTTTGGGAAAGTTTAGAGAGAAGGGAGGATCAAGAAAAGAGAGGGTGCTGGGGAGATAGCTCAGCGTACCTGACAAGCACAAGGTCCTGAGTTTGATCCCCAGTACCCCATCCCACCCCCACAAAACAGAAAAGAGAAGTAGAGGGGAACTAGAAAATCCGAGGCAGACAAAGTATTTCTGAGAGCTGTTAAGATATAAAGTCTAGTAATAAAAAATCTAAATAATAGAAAAATGGCTTAGATTGCAAAGTAAGAGCTCACCAAGCTAGAGCTGCTTCACACTTCCTACAAAACCTGGAATTCCTAGGAGTGTAGAAGATTCCATCTGACCTATCCTTTAAAAGAGGAATGAGGAAAAAACCCTGGGACAAAGCCCTACACCACTTAGGCAGAGTGTACAGGCCACCCAACACAGAGCGTCATGCCCATGTGGCTTAGAACCAGGAACCTCTAGGTAACTTGGCCATGCCACAATCAAAGAATTATCTTCTATGGTTTTACTATATTTTTTTGGTTGAATTGCTTTTTAGGGGAAGCTTGTTTTTTGGTGTTGGTGCCAAGGACCGAACCCAGGACTTCCAGCTTGCTAGGCAAGCATTCTACCACTGAGCCAAATCCCCAGGTGCAAATTATCTCCTACGAAACACGTGTGGTGTACAAAGTACACATAAGGGTAAGCACTTCTGTAACAATTAAGTAACTGCTAAGGTAGACACCCTTTTTTTTCTTTAGCCTGACATAAGGAAAACTAAAATATAGATTTTTCCCATGATTGTAATTTTCACTTCAGAAAATTTAGAAATAAAACTACAAAGAAGCAGAAGATAGTATCCCTTTGTCAGTGAAATAGAGGTATTAACCATTAATTGCTGGAAATACTGCATTCAGTTTTGGGTAACATCGTATTGTTTTTCAAACACAAACATACCTCTGACTATATGGATGTAACAATTTAATGATTTTTCCATTAGCGGACCATTGTGTTGGCAATAATTTTCTGCTGTAACAATGACATGATGAATGTCTCAGGACAACTCTTAATAACATCCTTAGGACACATTCCTGGAAGTTAAATCCCTGGATCGAAGGTTTCTGACTCAAGCCAAATGACTTTGCAGAACACGTGCTCAATTTATATCCTCACCAACAGCACTGGAGAGTGCGTCTCCTTTGGCCCACACCAGTATCGAATCTGAGCTTAAACAAAAGTAAAATTCCGCTAATATATTGCTAAAAAGTAATGACTGCTTTAATCTCCTAGTTTAATAGCCAGCTGTGTTTCTCCTATGAACTCACCATTTGTATTTCTTACCTATGTATCCCACTGGGGTTCTGTATTTTTACTATTTTTTTAATAAACTGTGAATGTACGCAGGATATAAATAACTTTTTTACTCATTTCCCTGGCAGTCCTTTGTCTTAACTGTGTTCATAATATATATTTTTTAATCTAGAGAAATCTGAAATCCTTTAGTCAAATCTTAGTCTTTGTTGTATTTTTAAAACGTTTCTACTTCTTCAATCAAATCTATTTTTTTCTCCATTTTTATCTTTCAAAAAATAATTCATCAGTCTATTTGTATACATGCCATGTGGCCAGGGTTTCTTTCCCAGCCTGCTCAAGAGCTAACTGCTACTACAGGACTATTAGAAGACTCTGGTAATTTCTTATGGTTCACTGAACATTAGATTTTTATACACAATCTGAGTTTAATTTATTCTACTGTTTTGTCAACAGTTTTTATAATGTTTTATTAACCCAACATCAGGAATTTTTGCTTTACTCATTCATTAAAATAATGAACTAGTCTCACTTTTTTAGCTAGGTAATATTAACAATATATTAATATATTACCCAGCTTTCAAAAACATGTTATAGTATGTTTTAAACTAAAAATTAAATTAGGATATCTTTTTTTTAGGGGGGTACTAGAAATTGAACTCAGGGCCTTGTGCTTGCCAGGCAGGTGCGTGCTGCCGAGCTGTCCTCCACCCTAGGATGAGCATCTTAAAATGCTTTTGCAATATTAAGCCCTCCCTTTAAGGAAATCAGACTGCCTGATCTTTTCAAATTTTCTTTTCCTCTCTCAAAATACTGGTTTCCTTTATATAATTCTCACATATCATAGGTTGAGATTCTTCTCTAGAAATGTACGCTTTCTTAGAAATTAAATTTTTCTCCTGTTACATTTTCTCTAAGATTGTGGCTACTGCCTGATTAACGGCACCTGACATAGTTTTTTAAAAAACAGACTCTTTCCTGGGCACTGTGGTGCATCCCAGCAACCCCAGCACTCAGGAGGCTGAGGCAGGAGGATCGCTGCGAATTCGGGACCACTCTGGACTACATAGTGAGCATAAGGTCAGCCTGAATTACATAGTGAGACCCTGTCTCAAAAACAACAAAACGGATTCTTTGGAGATTTCAAGATAGCAATGATATTTGAATACACAATGCTCAGCCATCATACTAGCATGGTTGAAAGGAGAGACACTTGTGTACTTCAGGTAGGAGGGTGAAGAGCTTTCTGAAAAGTAATTTCGCTAAATATCTCAAAAGCCTCTGATGTGCAAATTCACTTCAAGAATTTATCTGAAGAATATCAACTAATCCTATCATCTGCAAATAAGGATAATCCTGGCTTATTTCCAGTATCTCGAACTCTATATTTTGGTAAATTATTCAGGAAATCTGGAACAATTTTAAACTACAGCACTCCCAGAATCCTTATTTTCTTTCTCTTTTTCTAAGAGGAAACTGTACAATGGCTTTTCACCACATGAGAATAACCACTTTACAATTCAAAGAAAAGTCTTTCTATCCTAAAGGCAAAATTGGGTTTCTATACTATTTCAGAGGTTTGCAAACCATAGAAAGATATTTATGAACCCAACTTTTAAAAATTTTTGGTTTTTTTGTGTGTAGGGTCTCATTACGAAGCTTGGACTTGTAGTGATCTTCCTGATTTCTGCCTCCCTAGTGCTGGGATTACTGGCATGTGCCACCACGCCCGGACACCATCACCAGCTCAGTGCACCTGGGGGTGGAGCAGGTGTGGCATGTGGTGCCAGGGATCGAACCCTGGCCCCTGCACTGAACTAAGCAAGTGCTTAGTCTGCTGAGCTATACTGCCAGCCCTTGTGAAACAAACTTTGAGCTTTTCATCACTAAATGTGTTGTTTAGGTTTTGTTTCCTTTAATCATATTAAGAAAATATCAAGGGCAAGCAAGATAGCTCAGCGGACTAAGCGCTTGCTTAGGCAAGTGGAGGGGTCAGGGTTCAATTCCTGGCAACACATGCTATGCCAGCCCCACCCGCCAGGCACGCTGAGCCAGTGATAAGAGTTCAGGCATGGTGGCACACGCCTGTAATCCCAGCACTAGGGAGGCTGAAAACAGGAGGATCATTACGAGTCCAAACTGTGTAGCGAGACCCTGTACCAAATATATAGATGAAAAAATAAAAATAAAACCAGAATGCTCCTCCTTTAGGTTTTATCTGACATTTCCTCTGGACAGGTTGAGATCTGTACTCCCAGCTGGAATTCTACAGAGATGGCACTCCAGCCTTCTCTGGGCGTCCACCTGGAGGTGTATGATTTACATTTGTCTCTCATTAGCAGCGCTGTTTGGTCCCCAGTCAACACAAGGATCAATTATACAATTACAAAATTAGATGATTTCTCCACTGTGTAATTATAGCCTTTTATTGTCCCTATAACTAACAGGCAGTTTGTGGGGAAATACTTAAAACCATTCTAATATCCTGATTCTTATCATTAAGAAAAGTTCATATATATTTACTTTAATTGATGATTCTTGTCTGATTCCTTATTGTGTTGACCATAAAATGCCAATTCTCTAACTCTACAGCTCACTATACATTTACCTGTTGGCCTTCTCAATCCATGTACTTAATCTATTTACTATGGTTATGAACATCTGAATTAGTATTATTTTAAATGGATTAAAATTCATTAATTTGCATTATTTTAATTACCTGCACTTAATTACAGTTGTTGCATAGTAACTGCAGATTATGAATCCATAGATTCAATAATTCTCAAGATAAAAAAAATTAAATTTGCTTCTGTACTGAACATTTTCTACTTTGTCATGATTCAAATTGTTCCTATAAATTTAACCAAACAGTGTATACTTATTTACATAGCACTTACACTACCTTACGCATAACTAACCTAGAGAGAATTTAAAGCATACAGGATACACCCATTTGTCCAGGCTCCTTGACAAATCCCCCGCGGACACAGCATGGCTCTCTTGTACTCAGACTGAAAGCCACATAGGAGAAGCCCCTCCTTGCTAGCACTGCTGCAGGCCCATCACTTTCACCAGCATTTCTTTACTTTCCACCAACAGATGGTCCAAGCACATCCTGACCCAGCCTGAGAGGCCAGCTGTTCTCTAAGGTGCCCTGGTCCCTTAGTGGGAAATGGCATTAGAACTGATGATCTAGATGCAAGACGTGCTTTTCACTGTGAAATGTCTTCTTCTTGCGGTGTTCAGCAGACAGATCAGAAATCGTATGTTTAGATGCATACAGATAGGTTCATATAGACACACAATATACATGAGAACATATACACATGTACATACACATTATTAAAATTAAGATTTCTTCGACAACATTTTTTTTGGCTTTTCTTCATGTACACATGTCCCTTATTCCACAGTGAAAACCAGGCATTGAGCAACAGCCATACATTTAGTCACTTGCTTAATTAAAGAGATGAGTATATGTTTGCAATACATAATAAATATAGTCATTGTGGTGTGTTTAATCTTTCATCTAAAAGATACAGAACTGTTTCACTTATCCATTACTAAATAATTGAATCTACTAAAGAGATTCTTCCATAGCAAAACATAAGACAGAACAGTGCCCCCAAAACAACAAATCACAATTTCAGCTGATGCAATATTTGAAGAGTGGGGGTACCATAAAAATTATTGATTGGAAAAACTTCCAAACAACACAAATTTGAAAATATTTCTGAACAGCAGCTACTGAACGATGTGAGTTCACCACACGAATGATCTCTTGGGGAAGAAGGACACAACAGATCAACAACAGAGGTCAGAAGGAAGACTCACCTTTTCCAATATGCCGCCTGGTGTTTTCAATAGTGGAATTTCGGTTAACGTTGGAGAGCAGCCCAAGGCAGAAGCGGTTCTTATTGTTGGAAGGATCAGTGAAGCCATCCACCAACACGCTTGTGGAGGAGGCATGGAACGCTTCACCCACACGGTTATTGAGCTCATAGTAGACAATAGAGCACCAGTGTTTTGGTTCCTCATAAGCAACTGCCTGAACATCTGGAAAAAAGAAAAGGTTCTATCAACCACGGTTTGTGCCTCAGGCTCTCAAAAACTACAGTGACATAAAGCTGGCTCAGGATCCTGAATGAAGATGTGGAAGGGCAACTGAGATTATAACATCTAAACCTTTTCTATAATATCTTAGGCAGGCACTTTCTATTAAGTGTGACATTCCCCCTTAATTGGAAAACAATTTTCTGCAATTACCATCAGAAAAGCAAAGCACCAGCTAGGCAAGCCTAGCAGCAGCGCTTGCAGAACACTAACCACACGCCATTTGCTCCTTAGTATGCAGAGGTGGAAAGCACCCCTCCCACAGACTGGCTCACCGTGTAAAGAAACACAACAAGTTACAAGTGAAAAACAAGAGGGCTGAGAGCAAGACAGGCTCAGAGCTCGGCCACAGGTGCTGGCATTAAAAAGACTTACTTTTGGTGAAGCCTCAGTACACCTGTGCTTTTTTTAAGCAACAAAAATGAGTTTTTAATTATTGATGAGAAGCTGCTTCACTTCGTATCAAGTTGCCAATAATGATCATAGCTCCATTTCTGCTGCAGTTCTCAAACTCAGGAAGCAATCTTGCCAGCTGGCCATTCTTCCAGAATGAATCATATCTCTCTCCTCCAGATTTCACGCTAACTTCCTTATATTTGCTTTAAGTCATGCAGAGCAGGTGTGTTTTGTCTCTCCATTCCCAGAATGGGCCAACAATGGAAATCACCCAACTTCACTGACAGGATGCAGCTTGTTAAGTCAAATCTCTTAAGACTAACAAATCTCCAAACAGAACACACTTCTAAACACTTGCAACTAAAAGGTTTTAAAGATAAGTTCCTTCTGTAGTAAAACCTCTCGTACTGCTGCTTTAGAGATTCAGGAATACAAACCGTAGTATCTGCAGGGCACCAATATATAATGATCTGAGGTTTATGAAGTCTTGGGAGCACAATCAAAAAACTGAAAGAAAATTCACATCAAAGGCACTGTTAAGGGAGAAGTGCCTCTGTGTTAACAGCAATCTCCACAAATAATAAAATGCACTTTAGAATTTGATAAAGAAAAGGAAAATGACAATTTGAAAACCCATACCTCTGTTGCTTTATACACTTAAGTAGGTCATCGGAAAACACACTATTTTACACTTGATAAGCAACTTTTTTGTCAATCTACTGTACTTCAAAGAGCAAAATATTAGTGACTTGTAGGTAACATGTTAAAGAAGGTTGTAAAATCAATAATAAAAGGCTTTTTATCAGTTATCCAGATTACTTAAAATATACTCATCTAAGTCAGAGGCTTGCACATTTTTTTCTGTAAGAGATCAGAAACATTTTGTGGGACATATGGTCTTTATCAAAACTGCCTTTGTGCTGCAAAAGCAATCACAGATACCATACAATGAATGAACACAGCTGTGTTCCAATAAAGCTTTATTTACAAACAGGTAGCAGGCTAAATAGTCTGCTGACCTCTGCTCTAAGAAAACCATTAACTACAACAGGTAAAAGGTCAATGTTTTCTTCCTTATGAAAATACTGGTTGTAAATTTACCCAAACAGGGAAATTTATAAAGGTGATTTAAAAGAAAGAAATCTTAAAGCTACATACACTTCCTGACATCAACCTCTTAATGACAATGGTTCCAGGGTCCCCACACTCGTAACAGCACACAGATAGCACTGTGCCCATTTCGTTCTGCCGTTCTATTTCCAAACACAAATCTCAAAAGTATGTGAGCTATGGGGCCGGGGAGATAGCTCAGTGGAATAAGTGCTTGCCTGGCAAGTGCAAGGGCCTGAGTTCAATCCCTGGTTCACAAAAAAAAAAAAAAAAAAAGTATGTGAGCTATAAAGGGCCTGTGAGCCCATCATCAGTTTTAAAAAAATAACTTTTAAAGAGCAGGGTTAGGTTCACAGCAAAATTGAGGATGAAGTACAGATATTTCCCTCCCACGTGCATCCCGCCCCTGCAAATGCGCAGCCTCCTCTGTTAATCAATACCTCCCATTAGTGTGGTATACTTCCTACAACCAGCGAGTCTATAACGATACATAATTATCACCCAAGTCTACAATTCAGGTTAAGATTCGTTCTTGGTGTGGTAAAGTCCATGGATTTGGACAAAAGCATATAATAACATGCAGCTATTATTACTGTATGGGACAAACATCATCAAAATTTCAGTACTCATCAAGCCAGATGTGGCAGTCCACTCCTATAATCCCAGCATTCTAGGAGGCAGAGGTAAGGGGATCCCAAGTTTGATCCTAGCCTGAGCAATTTAGCAGAATCCTGTCTCAAAAAAAAAATATAAATAAATAAATAAAAATGGGTTGGAGATGTAGCTCAGTGCAAAGGCCTTGGGTTCAATCCCCAATTTCTTGCTATACTTTTATTTCAGTTAGAAGAAAATACACCAAGAAACAAATGCTAGTAGGTAGCTGCAGGCATATGTAGGTGAAGGGCTGGAAAACAGGACTACTTCTTTTTTTTTTTTTTTTTTTTTTGGCGGAACCAGGGACTGAACTCAGGCCTTTGTGCTTGCCAGGGAAGTGCTTATTCCACTGAGCCATCTCCCCGGCCCCTAGAAAACAGGACTTCAAGATCTCTTTTCTAACCACAAAACACAGAAACTCCAGTCATGTGATCCCTAAAGCTGAAAGCCAGGGTTGCCAACTTCACTGCAGTGTCACGCTAGCTGTTTCCCCAGCACACGGCCCGCTTAACAACACCCTTCACGTCACCAACCGTAAATCATTCAATACTGAAGGGCCACAAAGGTGACTGCACAATTCCACCTGGACTTTTGACAATTAAGACAGTGCATTTGCTTAAAAGGCATATTATCCAAAGACTGTTTGTTTCCCATCCAGCTTGGCTCCTATCTCTAATAGCCATCTTTTATGAGAGAAACTAACATTTGGAGGGACAGACTTTGGGTCACGGGCCCCAAGCCCAGAGGCTCTGGCACTGGTCTGTGGCTGCTGGAAGCGGCTGCACAGTGGGAGGTGAGTGGAGCTTCCTGGGCACTGAGAGCTCTGCCTCCCCACCTGAGCTCTGCCTCCTGTCAGACCAGCAGCGGCCCAGATCTTGCGAGACAGCAAACCTCTCCATTAACTGCACAAGCCAGGATCTAGGCTGCACTGCTTTTGCATGAATCTAAATGGAATACTAGCAGGAAAAAAGTGCAGAATAAGTGCAGTGTACATGAACTCTCCCAAAACCTATTTGTGAAAAAAGTAATCTTCCATGGTACTGAAGAGGCTGGGGGCTGCTACCTTAGACTCTAAAAGAGGACACGAGTAGCAACTCATCTTACCTCCTCTATTGATTTCGGAGGCCAGTGAGGGTGCCATCATATTTGTGTCCATTGGCTGAGAGCCATCCTGGGTCATGGGGTCTTCAGGAGGCAAGTAGGCAGGTGGAGGCGTATCAGCTGCAAAGGTTAAAAAGTATGCTTGAAATATATTCTCTTGTGAAATGAAGTTCACATGTTGACATGTTAATTTCATCAAAAGACTAGACATTATAGTCACTGGCTTTGGTGTACAACTTCTGAAAATGATTACCGCCCCCGAGTCATCTATCTAGGATCATGCCATTCTAACACAACTAAACAATGCTGTCCTGCAGTCCACTTTGAGAGGATTTGTATTTCACTTTTACTAGTGGGTGTAACACATGTCAAAGCTGGGCTGGCCAGATAGCTCAGCAGACTAAAGCGCCTGCTTAGCCAGGTGCAGGGATCAGGGTTCAATCCCTGGCATGCTGTGCCGGCCCTGCCCCTGTAGATCACTGAGACCGAGACTGAGACTGGGCATGGTGGTGTGCACCTGTAATCCCAGCTCTTGGGAGGCTGAAAACAGGAGGGTCACTACGAGTCCAATCTGTGTAATGAGACCCTGTACTAAATACATAAAAAAGAAGAAAAAATATGTGAAAGCTATCAAATATGGCACTTATTAAGAAAAGGAGTTTTCAGGAGCCCTTACACAATACCTAGAGGCTTTTAGGAATTGACCTTCTGGGTTTCATTACTGCCTACTGATTTAGACTGTTAATTTTTCAAGAACTTAAGCAATCTGTTATCTTCTCCCTACTCAGTTAACTGCTGGCTTTAAAATCCATAAACTGAACAAAATAACAGAGGACAAATCAGTTTATTCCACTATCTCATGTCTCAGAATGTACACACAGGCTTCTTCTGAGGAGCACACCATGAGCTGACAAGCAAAATGATTTTTGAAACAAAAAACACTAACACAAGTCTGCTCTTTTCTTATAAACGCTCTTTTGCAGTTCACGCCTCTGTTTTTCCTGAGCCCATTGGCATGAGTGACAGAACCACGGGGACCAAATTTCCCTTTGGGGCTCAGGAACGCGTGGCCACGTGCCCACAGCACTCGCGGGACAGCCACTACCATGCCCCTGGGGCTCCTCTGCAATTTCCCACCATCCCAGCTGCTCACAAGCGGGGTCTTGGCACAGAGATGGGACTTCAGAGACCTCATGGGGACACTTCCTTTGCTCTTTCTCCCACTGCTTCATTTTCAGCTTTCCCCCCGTGCTGCAAGGCTGACTCCGCTTTAGCAAAGGCAGCCTCTGATGAATCTAGTGAATTTCTGCCAATAAGCTGGTGAACATCTCAGGGGCAATCTGTGGCGTCAGCACCTCTCAGCGGGACCAGCTAATTATTGGTGCTGTCCTACCACTCCCACAGGTGCTTCCTCCTCTCCCTTTTCCGTATTTCTTCTGCTTGGCCTGTCCTTGAATCCCTGACAGCCAAGAACAAAGTGGGAATTCAAGCAATGATCTGCAAGTTTTTCACTGGAGTTCACCTGGGGTTGCCACTGCTCAAAACTCTTCTGGAACTGATCTTCTCACCACTAAACTGTCCATCAATGCACAGGGTTTACTTGGAGTGGGGTGGGCCGAAAGTCACCAAATACTATCAGTGTGATTTTTAAACTTCTCTTATCTTCCATATTCATCCCAGTTTTGGATTGAAAAAGCAAACAGCACAATGCAAAATAAAGTCCCTTAAAATAAAAGGGAGTAATAAAAGCATCAAAAATATATAAGCTGTGACCTACTTTTCAATTTCTGAAAGTGCAATGCTGATGATTTCAAATTTACTTAACATTTTAAGTAGCCAAAAAACATGTTTTCCCTCCCCAAAATGTTGAAATAGTTCAAGTACAAGAGCATCTTTGGGGTCTACTGCCAAGAAATTTAATACTATTTTTTCTGAAATGCTTGTTTATTAACCTATAATTTGAATAATGTAATGTCTTAATTAATCATTTATTTTGATAACTATTACACCATCAGTTATGTCTGAAAAAAGAAAATAATCGTTCTTTTGTCTTTGCTAAATTAAACAAGCAGATGGTTTCCAGTACTTCGCTGCAATTCCTTTGTTGTTGAAGTATGTTTCTCAGGACTACATCACTATTTACACAAATTTACTTAAACAGGAGTGTGTGCTCCTTCTCTGAGGCTGCACTTAGAGCAGGGTTTCTTCCAAGTCTGAACAGAGGCTAACTGAAGCTGTGCTTCTTCTAACAACATACTGTTTAACAGGCTACTTTTCTCTTTCTTTTATCAGGAGAAAGACTGTGACAATTAGGCCACACCCAAAGGATGCAGCTGTTTCAAAAGTTTTTTAAAAACAAGGGGAAAATACAGCTAATTTAAGCTTCAGTGCCTGAGAGATGAAACAAGATCTTTGCTTCCGTGGCTGCGAATCTCCCACAAATGCTAGCCCCGAGCACCAGAGCACAGTGCATATTCCAGAGTTAAGAAGCTCCTGCCATGCGGGGCGGACCCCGCCCCTCCCCCAGCGCTAGCTGGCACCACCTGGTCTGACCACACACAGCACACCCGCAACACTGCCCCTACCTGGCATCTGGAAAGGGCTGCCTGGGTCTGAGCTGGTAGGAGAGTGAGGGTAGGTGCTGCTGCTGCTTCCAGGAGAGTTTGGGTAACTGCTGTTCGGGGAATGAGGAAATGGGTGGCTGCTGGGTTGCGGGAAAGAATCCGGGAAGGTGGCGTTGAGCGGCATGTGAGGCTCATTCTGTCCCGAGGTCCGGAACTGAGCCAGGAGGCTGTGTTGAGGGTTATATTCGCTGTGTCTTGGAACCAGCACTGGAGGAAGAACTGGAAACGGGGAAAGGAACAAAAGAACAACAAAATGAACATGATGGAAACGGGAAACTATCTCCAGTAAAGACGAAACGTAACCTATGACAACAAGTTATCGGAATCCTGCCTTGGCGCAACTCAGCTGAAGCCACAAGAAAGCCATCGTATACTCAGGAGCAGGGAGGCTTTAGACCTCAGAGGGCATGTGTCTGCCATCGGTAGCACGGACCAACTGTCGGAGGAAAGTCTGCAAAACATGTTCATTTAGGTTAAAAATGGTAAATTCTCCCACTTTTAATTTTTCCATCCACTGAAAACCCAAGTACAGTTAATGTATTGCCACTGGCATTTCCATTTCATAGCCCTGACAGTAAAAATTCCAAGTTAATACTTACTGAATGATGAATGTTTTAAACTCACTTTCAAACAAGAACAGTATATAAATTTGGGATAAACAGTGAAGAGAGTTATTACACCAGAAGATAGTTAATTACACAAAGTATGATGCTCTGTGAGGAAGTAATGTGGTGTCCAGTCCTGGTGGCCGACTTTACCAGCACCTTTTCTTAAGCATCTGCGTTTACCCACTTCTCCACAATCCTTAACACTACTGACAGGCCAAGGAGAGCGCAAGAGGTATAATCCACACTCCAACTGAAAATACAAGTTATGAACGGCCCAAAGGCAGACAGCTGTGGAAGCAAAACCCACTCCCATCACTCTGCAAAAGCTCTGCATGTGAGGAACCGAAGGAGCCGATGACCAGCACGGTCAGCAACCTCCAGAAGAAAGCCCTGGCAAAGCCACCAGGACCCGCTCAGCCAATGGTCAGTTCCAGAGCCGGAACCAAGGTGGGCCCCGAAGCTTCTGGTCAGCCACCAGGTGGCTCCTCCCAGCCACAAAGGCCTTGGAGCCCTCCTGCTGAGGCCTCAGTGGAAAGAAGAAAAACCCATTTTTAAACTTCGTAGGAGAAGAGGAATAAAACCTGCTTTTATTTTCTGTGGTTCTGGGCATGCTGAACACACACAGTACCACCGAGCCACACACACTCCTTAATCCTCTGATCCCGAAGATGGTTTCTGCTACTGCTGACATTTCTAAGATACCTTTTAATAAACCCTGAAAATGTCCTGAGGTACTACACATCTCTAACAGGAGGTACATATATTCATCTAATGAACTCTTACATACTCATCTTTCTTCCCTCTGGATTCTTTGGCATAATCTGTCTCTGAATGTAACACCCACTGTAGTGTGTGTGTGTGTGTGCTACCTTATCATGAGCACCTGCCACAATTTGTGTCATGGTATAATTTTATCATCATCATCATCATTTAATGTATAATAATCCCAGCACTGGGATTACAGGCATGCGCCACCATGCCCAGCCTTGGTGGCTGGTTCCACTGGGCATGCCTGGGGATGGGGCTGGCACAGCACGAGGTACTGGGGATCAAACCCAGGCCCTTGTGCTTGCCTAAGTAGGCGCTTAGACTGCTGAGCTATCTCCGAGGCCCACTGATGATGTAATTTTGTCTTCTGTAGATGAAATGAGTTGCTTCAGGTTGGAAGTAATTGTGATAAAGCTTCTAGGTCCATTCTTTCTTTAAAAAACAATTTCAAACTTGCAGAAGTATTGTAAGAATAGCACAAAGAACTCCTGCATGCTCTTTACCCACGTTCACCAATTTTTAGCACTTTGCCACATTTCCTTGAATCATTCACCCTCCCTTCTCCTGAAGCACATACACACATATTCTGAGGCACCTGAGAGCAGGTAAAGTACATTATATGTCACCCTGTAACATTTCAGAGTAACCCTAAAAAGAGTACTTACTTTCACATATACACTACACTTTCAGTAACTGTTTTCAGTGTCATGCTACTGATATTTTTAAATGCAAGTTATTTTATAGTCTAGCTCTCCATTCAAGTTTCTGCAGTATTTCTGCACATTTAAACTCAATTTTTGTCTGGCCAGAAGCCCACAGTGTCTTCCTGGTGCTGCTGTTAATCTCGATTAATTGGTTAAGATGCTGTCCAACTCATCTACCATCTAAAGCTTTCCTTTGCCAATTATTAATTTGTGGGGAGATACTTTGAGACTATGTAAACAGCCTGTTTTTCACCAAATTTTACCTCCTAAATGTAGTACTTGCTCTTCAATGAAGTTCTGCTAGTAGTTGCAAAATGGAGATTTTTCTTTCATTCCACTATTGTGTCAGGAATCAGAATTTTCATACATTATAAAATTATTCTCACCAACTTATCTGTCTATATTCTGTTACATATGATGTACACTCTACTGTTACCAATCATTAGTATGGATCCATACTTAATGGATATTACCATCTATTTGCATGCACGTGGTGTCTTAAAATTGGCCACTGGGAGCCCATTCAAACTAGTTCCTAAGCCTTATTTTAAACACATTATCGTTTTCTGATCATTTCTATAATTTTTTTTTTTTTTTTTGTGGTACCAGAGATTGAACTCAGGACCTTGCGCTTGCCAGGCAAGTCCTTATTGTACTGAGCTACCTCCCTGGCCCCTTCCATAATTTCTGCAACAAGATCTTCCAGGTTTATCTTTTCCTTTTCCCTCGCCAGCGCTGGGGTTCCTGGTTCACTTTAGTGAAGTATGGTATTTAGAAACTAAACATGAACTCTGAGTATGCCCCATAAGTTTGCTGGAGTCAACCCGATTACAGGGTGTGTATGTTAGAAATCCAGAGCTTGTACTGCTACTTCCAAGTCCAATTTAGTTCCACAGTGTTTGTATTTGCCTTGTTCCACTAACACTAATTTGTCTGTTAATTTCCTTTATCCTAAAATAAACTCACAATGTCAAAAGAAAATTTGAGGTTTTCTTTAAACTTTAAAAAAAGGGGCAGGTGAGGAAACAGCTCGGCAGTCTCAGTGCCTGCCTGGGAAATACAAGGACCAGGGTTCGATCCCCAATACTGCATGCTATGCTGGCCCTGGAAGCTGTGCTGGCTACTTAAATCAGGCTGGGGGGCACATGCCTCTAATCCCACAGCTGGGGAGACTGAGACAGGAGGTTCCCTTTGAGTGCAAACTACATAGAGACCCTGTATCAAATAAATAAGATTTTTATTAAAACTTAAAAAATACATACAGTACTTGGATTCACTCTAATTCATTCACAATTTACTGTGTTCCTTTTCTCTTCAGTGTAACTATTAATTTGAAGTTTTATTCAGTGTTTCATTTTTCAATTTACTGGATGCGTTTATTTGCTGCTGATAGGTTTAGCTCCCCACTTCTTGTTGACTTTACCTTTTAAATGGGAGCAACGCTCACATGGTCCTGAAACATTCCCTTCCCCACCCCTTGTACTCAGCGCAGCCCTCTCCAACTAACTCATCTCCTCACACTTTAACCAATTTCAGGTTTTGTTAATCCTGCCTGTGTTTCTTGATGAAGAAAAAAAAAAGCATGCTTTCTTATTTTACAAAAAAGCCTATTATCTATACTTAAGCACTGTCTTATTTTTTTTTTAATTTTATTTATTTGTGTGGGGGGGGGCAGCTCAGCCCACCAGGGGGCGGGGCTGGCTGGCATGTGGTGCTGGGGATTGAACCACGGTCCCTGTGCTTTGCTAAGCTTGTTCTAAGTAGGTGCTTTAGACCACTGAGCCATCTCGCCAGCCCTGTCTTATTTATATACTAACAAAATAACTACATTTGTGCATGGAGATCCTAATTTACTTTGATAACAGATTATCGATCAGCCTCCTGTATTGAAGCATGCAGGTAGTTTACAATACTTTACCATTGCATGTATTACTGTACTGACTCTGAATCTATACTGTGGTGTGACTAAATGCCTGCCTGTGGACATGCGGAGCGAATAGAGACATGCATGCGACACTGTTACCTTCAGATGCCCCTCCGCAGGGAGTCACACCCCTCTGCCCTGCCAGCAGTAACGTATGCGTGCCTTTCCCCCAGCCCTTCCAAGTAGATTTTGTCAAACTTTTGATCTTTTTGTTTTTAACAAAATGGTGGATGCGAAATCATACTTTGGTGCAATTTTAATTCACATTTCTTTTATGGTGAAAGTCAATCATTTATTTCAGAGGGTGTTTTTGTATCTTTTATAAATTGTCTGCTTGTGCCTTTTAACTCTTCATGTTACTAGTCTCTAATGTGCTTGATGGAGTATTTTACTATAACCTGTCATTTGACTTTGTTTACATAGCAAAGTTTTTCTTTGAGGGTAGTCATGTGCAACAATACTATTTTATTGTCTACAGACTTTTTATTTTTCACTTATATATTTGGTACAGGGTCTCACTACGCAGCTTGGACTCGTAGTGATCCTGTTTTCAGCCTCCCCAGCGCTGGAATTACTAGTGTGCACCACCACAGCCGGACTCATTCACAGACTCAGTGTGCCCTGAGGACAGGGCTAGCAGGCATGTGGAACCAGGGATCCAACCCTGGTCCCTGCATTTGCTAAATCAGGCGCTTAGTCTGCTGAGCTATCTTGCCAGCCATGTATATGGACTTTAAGTCACATGGATAATTTCATGTTATCCATGTAGTCTTCTGGTATATAAACAAATTTCACTATTTAGATTTTTGAGCCATTGGGCCTTGACTTATTCTAACTAGTGACCCCAATAACATTAAAAAGGTCATCTTTGTCCTAGTGACTGGAGCTACTTTTTTTCTCTTCATGTATTTGATACAGGGTTTTACTATGCAGCTCCGACTGCTAGTGATATTCCTATTTTAGCCTCCCCAGCACTGGGATTACAGGTGTGTGCCACCACACCAGGTCTTGGGAGCCAGCTCGGTGCACATGTCATGCCAAGCCTGCCTAAGCAGGCACTTAGTCCGCTGAGCTATCTCGCCTGCCCATGGAGATACTTTTAAAAATAATGTTCTCTATGTGTTCGGGTTCATTTTTATTTATTTGAGTTTCGTTTTGTTTTTGAGACAGGGTCCTGCTTAGTAGTTCAGGCTGGCCTTGAGCGCATGGCAGTAC